AAGCAATAGTAATCTTTATAGTGTGAGTTTGCATGAGCATATAAATGGAAATTAATACAGAGTAGAATAATAGACCCTATATATGTAGTGCACTAATTTTTTCACCAAAGCACTATTTCAATTCAATGGAAAAAGAAGAGTCTTTGACAAATGTTGCTGGAACAACTAGATATCTCTATAGGAAAAATAAACAGATAAGCCATGACCCTTACCTCATTCTATACACAAACATAATTCGCCATGGATCATGGACCTAAAAGAAAAGCAGGAACCATAAATATTTCATGAAAATATGTAGGAGAGTATCTCTATGACCTTGGGACAAGTAAACAAAAGGATTCTTTGCTGGGACACAGAAAGCTCTAAATGTGAAAGAAAATTTGATAAATAGATGTCATAAAAATTTAAATGTCTGCCCTGGCCTGTCTGGCTCAGCAGTTAGAGCGTCAGTCTGTGGACCAAAGAGTCCCAGGTTCCATTCTGGCCACGGGCACGTACCTCAGTCGCAGTTCATCCCCAGCCCCAGTCAGGGTTGTGTGGGTGGCAACCAGCCAATGTGTCTCTTTCACATCAAGGTTTCTCTCTCTCTTGCTTCCTCCCTCCCTCCCACTCTATCTGAAGATAAATGGGAAAATATCATTCAGTGAGAATTTAAAAAATACATATATACACACTATATATATATATATATATATATATATATATATATATGCTGCTAATCAATGACCATTAAACAATGAATAGGCAAGCCTGGCAAAGTTTCCACCTTCCATCTGTCTGGAAAGGAACTTGTATCATGAATATAAAATAATGTCTACACATAAACAATATTAAGAGAAACAACGTCATTTAAAAATGTCAAAAGATTTCACTCTCACAAAATGATACGTGAATAACCAACAGGAGCATGAAAAAGGCTCAGCAGCGTTGATCGTCAGACACCCACTAAAATAACTAAGATCAAAGGAAACCTGACCATCCCAGCCACTGGTGAGGAGGTAGAGCAACGGAAGTCTGAGATGTAACTGCAGGGAATGTAAAATGTACAATTTGTTTGTATCTTAAAATGTTAAATATATACCTATGGCCATTCCTAGGAATTGAACCAAAAAAGTGAAAACATGTCCACAAGCATGTTCACAGCCGGCATATCTGTAACAGCTGCAAGTGGGAAGAACTATGCCCACTGATGGGGAAATGGTTAGACCCACGGCTGCGCCGCCACGTTGTGGAAACTTGCTCAGTAATACTACGGGACAAACTAATCACACATGCAAATCAGGGCTGAATCTCAAAAACATGACATTTGCTGCATGGAAGTCACAAGTCACAATGATGTCTGACTTTGTTGATATGAATATCAAGATCTGACAAATCTAATCCAGGCAGATAGGAATCAACAGCATTGGCATCAGAGGTAGGAGGGAAACTTGTAAGGTGATGAAAATATTTCTATCTTGTTTGGGGTGATGACTACATAAGTATGTGTAATTATCAAAACCCGTATAACAGGATTTGCATTTTAGTGTATGCAAATTTAACTCAATTAGCAATATTTCTTTGTTTTTACAATTCACAGGAGTTTTCATCACAATCCTATGGTAGACATTCAACAGGTTTTGGCCGAATTCCTCTTACTCACCCCCTTGTGGGGTAGGTGAAGCACCTGTCACTCTCGCTGGACAGATAAAGGAGCGCCAAGGTTGGTGAGAAGCTGCTGTGCGCCAGGCTGGGCTGTCTGCCGTCCCCTGGCCTCTGTGAGTGTGCACTTGCAGTCAGGAGAAGGAGGCCCACAACGTCCCCTGGCCTCTGTGAGTGTGCACTTGCAGTCAGGAGAAGGAGGCCCACAACGTCCCCTGGCCTCTGTGAGTGTGCACTTGCAGTCAGGAGAAGGAGGCCCACAACGTCCCCTGGCCTCTGTGAGTGTGCACTTGCAGTCAGGAGAAGGAGGCCCACAACGTCCCCTGGCCTCTCTGTGAGTGTGCACTTGCAGTCAGGAGACAGGAGGCCCACAACGTCCCCTGGCCTCTGTGAGTGTGCACTTGCAGTCAGGAGACAGGAGGCCCACAACGTCCCCTGGCCTCTGTGAGTGTGCACTTGCAGTCAGGAGACAGGAGGCCCACAACGTCCCCTGGCCTCTGTGAGTGTGCACTTGCAGTCAGGAGAAGGAGGCCCACAACGTCCCCTGGCCTCTGTGAGTGTGCACTTGCAGTCAGGAGAAGGAGGCCCACAACGTCCCCTGGCCTCTCTGTGAGTGTGCACTTGCAGTCAGGAGACAGGAGGCCCACAACGTCCCCTGGCCTCTGTGAGTGTGCACTTGCAGTCAGGAGACAGGAGGCCCACAACGTCCCCTGGCCTCTCTGAGTGTGCACTTGCAGTCAGGAGACAGGAGGCCCACAACGTCCCCTGGCCTCTGTGAGTGTGCACTTGCAGTCAGGAGGCAGGAGGCCCACAACGTCCCCTGGCCTCTGTGAGTGTGCACTTGCAGTCAGGAGGCAGGAGGCCCACAGAGCCCAGCTGGCCTCTCTGTGAGTGTGCACTTGCAGTCAGGAGGCAGGGGGCCCACAACGTCCCCTGGCCTCTCTGTGAGTGTGCACTTGCAGTCAGGAGAAGGAGGCCCACAACGTCCCCTGGCCTCTGTGAGTGTGCACTTGCAGTCAGGAGGCAGGAGGCCCACAACGTCCCCTGGCCTCTGTGAGTGTGCACTTGCAGTCAGGAGGCAGGAGGCCCACAACGTCCCCTGGCCTCTGTGAGTGTGCACTTGCAGTCAGGAGAAGGAGGCCCACAATGTCCCCTGGCCTCTCTGTGAGTGTGCACTTGCAGTCAGGAGACAGGAGGCCCACAACGTCCCCTGGCCTCTGTGAGTGTGCACTTGCAGTCAGGAGAAGGAGGCCCACAACGTCCCCTGGCCTCTGTGAGTGTGCACTTGCAGTCAGGAGAAGGAGGCCCACAACATCCCCTGGCCTCTGTGAGTGTGCACTTGCAGTCAGGAGAAGGAGGCCCACAGAGCCCAGCTGGCCTGGGCAGTGGTGTGAGTGTAGGAAAGGAGGTGGAAGGAAGAGCCCAGCAACATCAGATGCCCCAGACCAGCCCTCCTGCCCTCTCGGGAGTGTTTCCTTCTCCCTCCCAAGTCCCACGTGGGCACTGACCTCATCAGATAAGGAAGGGATGTGCCTCGCTCACCTGTCTATCTCCCTTCACAGCCCCGCCCCCAGACACTCAGCACGCATTTAGAAAATGTAACTTTGTTAAATACTTGCAAAAGAGTGTATAATAGAGTTAAAAGATATTTAAAAATAAGAAATATAGGTCGAGTAGAAAACAAAGGTATTATGGAGCCAGGGAAGAAATTATTATAAATTCCTTGTTATGATAGCCTATACAGTTGTGTAGAAAGATTTCAAATTTTACTCTATGCTTCCAAGAAACTAATGAAAGAGGAAAATAAAATCAACTTCGAAAAGTCTTGTCGCTCTGGCCGGTGTGGCTCAGGTGGTTGGGCATCGTCCTGTGCACTGAAGGGTTGCCAGTTCGATTCCCAGTCAGGGCACGTGCCCAGGGTTGCGGGCTTGATGGCAGGCGGGAGCCTGCAGGAGGCAGCTGATCGATGTCTCCCTCTCTCTCTACCTCTCCCTTCCTCTCTCTCTAAAAATCAATTAAAAAACTTAAAAAAAAAAAAAAAAAAGGACTTGTGTCCATAAATCAATAACACGCCTGCCATTCGAGGTGGGTGGGGGTGCAGGAGTAAAGGCACATCTGTTCTGATAATGAGGCTGGAGAGATTTATTCTTCAGTGGTCCTGGTTGAGAGAGGACCTGGGGTATAATCCACATTACGAGAAACACAGTGGAGTGTCATCACAACGTTCTATTTATTGAATTCTCACTCTAGGCAAATCCGAGTATGTTTCATTTGCTTAGCAAAGAAGTGCACAGAGGTTTTCATGGTTTCAGAGAGGCTCACGTGCTCATGGTGACACAGCTGGTTGATAACAGGATGACGTTGATTCCAAATTCTGTGATGTTGATCAATCAACTATACTGCAGTCTCTTCACTGGCCAACTTCTCAGGAATTAAAAAATCATATGTCACCACATGAAAGTATAATAATCTACCAGAGTAGGGTAAGCAGATTTAGCAAATAAAGACAGAAAACTTCCAGGTACATTTCAATTTCAAGTCACTTTCAGATAAATTTCATTGTCTGAGCTCATCTTTCACTGAGGCCTTGCGTTTTCTCTGGCACCCCCTCCAGGGAGCACAGCTGTACATGGCAGGGTGTCTGGAGGGACGAGTAGCTGCAGCTCCTCTGCCAACTTTCCAGAAATACAATTTCTCTTCAGACTCTGCAAGGTATCGAATGCCGTGAGTTCAGGATTATACTCCCTCACAAGGGTCTGCAGTGCAGGTTTGGTTTTAGTTTTGTTTTTTGGGGGAAGAGCAGTTAAATAAAAAGTATACACTTTATTAAGCAGCTCAACTAAGCGTACCATCTTCGTCCCCTTGAAGAATCTGAGCTCTCCAGGACTCCAGCCTTAGCTCTGGGTCCACCATGGGCATGCTCATTTCATAGAAATGTTACAACAAATACAATTTCTTAAAAGGTTCTTTAAATTGGAAGATATAAATAGACTGATATGAATTATTATAATGATGGCTACTTAAACTGGACACAATTTATATATCTAATAATAAGTAATTAGGCACAGCAACTGAAGCACAACCATGAGATAGAACACAATGAATATTTTAAAATGTTAAATTTAAATGACATGTCAAATGCTTTTATAATGATAAGTAGAAAAACTACACACTATGTGAACTTTGCTATACAAAGAGTATACTTAAGTATGAATTAAATTTTTTAAAAGTGCAAATACGTTATTTTAGGATGACAGATCCATGAATTCTTTTTGTTATTTCTTCTTTTATACTTTCTGTTCTATAATTTGTATAGTGAGAAATATTTCTGTAGAGAATAGCAATACATGAAAGGCACTGTAAACAACGTGATTGTAACAGCAAGTGGGTAAGGCACTCCAACAAAATAGGCAGTGCTGAGATGGTAAAACTAAGCTTTGATCAAGTACAATATAGTCAGTCCGGCCTGTGGGAACAAGATCCGCTACCAACATTCCGCACAAGGGAGTCCGAGTGTTCTTCCAGCTTAGTAAAATTTAATGCTAAAACTGAGTGTGATGTTCCAAAGGCAGGACACTGACGAGGAATAGGAGGGGCGAACAGCAAGGCCGCAGGCCTCAGTGGAGAAAAGCTGGCCAAGGAGAAGGGGAGGAAGGTGGGGTGAGCGAGGGAGATTGAAGAGAACAATTTGAAAGCATTTTATAACCACCTGGAATCAGGAAAACAGAAGCAAAGTTTCTAGATTACAGGGGGGACTCAAATACCCTTGCCCTTCCCACCTCTTGAACCCCAGCGCCACTGCAGACAGTGGTCCATCTGGAGTCCATCCATCTGGCGCATCGCACACCCGCGCAGGCACTACTGCCCGTGGGCGGTGGAGGCTGCCGGCCCGGAGGTCTCCCTGGGGAGCGTGCTTGGCGCGGGCATGTGGTACCTCACGCGCTTCCAGAACCTGGAGTTCAGGGCCCGCTTGTCAGCCACGTGGTCTTCCCTCCACCTGATGGTGCCTTGCACCTGCACCAGGTGCTGGAGGGACCCCGGGAGCCCCGAAAACTGCAGTGGGCCGGGCTCACTCAGGGCCTCCATCTCTATCAGAATGGCCTTGGAGTCGTTGTGGATGAGGGCACTGTGCAGGGCGACCTCCTGCTCGTAGGCCAACTCCTCGCTGTGCACCGCCTGAGGTGTCAGGACGAAAATGTGCCTCCGACTCTTCCGGATGTTGGTTTCCACCGCAGTGGCCACGTCTAGGAATCAGACACGGAGACACCCTGTTGTTATGTCTCTAAGTCTAGTGCTTTGATCATAATGTTCGGAACTTTAAGAAATGTTATCATTATAATCTAGTATGAGCTTCTGACACTATCAATTCACTTCTTGGGAAAAGGTGGGGTGCCCTGGATAGAGAGCCCTTGGGTGTGTCTTGATGCTTTCAGGGTGAGCTCACCGCTGCCGTCTTCCTTCCCAGGTGGGTCGGTCCTAACTAAACAGTCTTTCCAGCTGAATGCAAAGGTAGAGATATTTAGCAGGAGACAGAATTCAGGATTATTAACTATAGATTCTCTTTTTAGAATATTACTTTACCTGTTTTTAAAGGGCTTAGAGTTTTGACTCTTATATTAAGAAGTGCAAACTCAGATCCTGGCCAGGTGGTTCAGTGGGTTAGAGCGGCACCCCTACACCAAAAGGATGCGGGTTCCATTCCCAGTCAGGGCACATATGGGAGGCACTGATCAATGTCTCTCTCTCTCCCCCTTCCTCTCTCTCTAAAAAAAAAATCAATGGAAATATGTCCTCTAGTGAGGATTAAAATAAGAGAGTGCAAACTCAGAACCCTTGCTCCTCTGAGCTGACTGAGGTCTCTAGGAAGTCCTGGATCCACTTCATTCCCCAGAATCTCTGTTTCAGAAGCTGATTTGATCCCGTCTAAAAAATCTTTAGGAAGATGGAGCCCTTTGGCAAGTCAGTGTCCATGAAGCATCAGCTCCACAGTGACTTTGACTAGCTTCTGGGTGAATGTAGTACAACACCGTCTCACTGCAGAGAGGGGACAGCATGATGAAGGAAGCCAACCCCGAGCAGACAACTCAAGCTCTCCCTGGAGAGTGGGCGGAAGGACGGCGGGGGGAAGGGTGGGGTGACTTGGATGGAGATTTCCAAGGAGATCTGACAAGGAGGTAAATGTTAAACAGAGCCAGACAGACACCTGGGGCCATTCAGGATCCCAACAGAAAACTTGGCACACTCAAAAGACTGGTGAAAGAGAGTTTCTGTGGACAGAGCCCAGGGACATCGGTGCGAGGTGGTGCAGACCCACAGGGGCCCGCATCCGGGCACCTCCAGTGTACAAGGAGGCAAAGGCCTGGGGGAGGCCAGCTAACCGGAGCCCTGCTCCAGGACGGAGAAGTGCAGCTACCTTGGCAGCTTCACAGAGAAGAGGCAGGAGAGGTGCCCCCTCCCCTCGCAACTCCTTCCAGGGCCTTCACTGGGCCAAAACCAGCGTGGAGCCAATGGAAGGTGACTAGCAGGGAAGACATACACTGCATTTGTCAGTTATAGACATTTTCCAAGGCTAGAATCAAGCTTGGTGTTGTTTTTGGGGGGATTTTATTTTGCTTCAGTTGCAGTAATAACGGAGGAAGCACTTGAGGGAGGGGAAGTAGGAAACTTTCCCAAATGAAAGAGCGCCAGCGCGTCTGGGGGGCGTGGTGCGACCAGCACTGAGGCCGCTGGGCCCGAGGGAGGAGAGCTGAAGAGCTCGCAGCAGCTGGCACGCGGAGTGACATCACTAGCAGCTGCCTGAGCAGATGTGGGAGGCGAAGACCGGTGTGCAGCATGACTCAGGCCTCTCGCTTGTGTGGGGAGCCAGTGGGGGGAGCTGCAGAAGGAAGAGAGCCCTGAGAGACGCCTTAGGTTTCAGTTTCTTGAATTGTACTTTCAGGAAACTGAAATGTCACCCAACTCATCACTAGGCTGGTCACAACACTGGAATATTCCAGGATAAACCAAATTCGCCTGTTGTGTGTATCTTTTCATCTTTAAGCATGTGGGCTCCTCTTTTCAGGAGGAACACCAGTTTAAATTCACAGTCTACTAAACATCAACTTAACTGGGCTTCCGCTCACGATATTCACCCTCATTCACAGTCCGAATTCTCCCTGGTCTCGGAGGACCCAGGAGGGTAGGGAGGGCTCATGGGCACGTGACATAAATATAGAGGAGACAGAATGACCACTGAAGTGCAGTGATGGAGACCCAGCTTTGAAAAGTGCATGAAATTGCCCGGCCAGTATGGCCCAGTGGTTGAGCAGCATGGCCCATGCACTGGGAGGTCGCCGTTTCGATTCCCGGTCAGGGCACGTGCCCAGGGTGTGGGCCTCATCCCCAGTGGGGGGCATGCAGGAGGCGGCCAATCTGTGTTCTATCTCATCGATGTTTCTATCTCTCTCTACTTCTCCCTTCTTCTCTCACTAAAATCAATAAGAAAAATAAAATAAAAGTGCATGAAATCAAGTGGGAATATTAAGAAACAGAAGACACAGTTTTAGTTGTTCTTGTGAGAATATAAATTTGCAGATGGTTCAACAACTTAAGGAAAATCATATAACTCTAGAAATATTTTAGGCAATGCCTCTGGATATGAACAAAATTCTGTGGTTTTAGAATCCTCCTTCAAATCCTCTGGACAGAATTAAAAGATGTTGAGTAGCGTAGGTCGTGGACAGGGAAGTATGACAGGGCGTGTCCCGCTCATCCACATACCAGAATGCCTTGCCCTGTCTTCACCTCACTGACACTGCTGTGAAGAGCTCATGATCAGGGTGGAAAGGGGGCAGGCGAGGCAAAGAATAAGTATCTCCTTCTTCTGAAAAAATATTGAAAACCTCTGGTGTTTAGGTCTGAAATAATGGTTCTAAGTCCTTATCCAATACAAGGATAAGACTACCCATCCCTTAGCCTTCTGATGAAATGAATTTCTGTCCTTGATGTACGTTGATAGCATTACCTTCTCCAGGTAGCATGTCTCGCCCATAAATACATAAGTTATAGCCACATTTATTTTCAAGAACATCTGGCAGAATCTGATGAACAAAGTACTCCACAGAACTGATCATCTCTGGACTATCTTTGTGGTTCCTTGGATAAATAACATAAGCATCATAGGTCTTTCCATCTAAAAATGAGAGTAGAAAGTACATCTTCATTACCTGGTTTGAAAAAATCATTACCCATCACCAAGTTTAATGGTTATCTGTGAATGTATCCCACCCCCCAAAATATTCTAGAATCTAGAGATGACAACAGTTTACTGCCACAAAATATCATCAGAAAATCAATCTTAATCCAAAGTTCTCCTTTTAATTGTTCCAGACTGAATGATAGAGAACAGGTAAGAGTCTGGCCAGTTTAGTTCAAACCATATTGTCACATTTAATCAATACTCTGTTAACAAGTATTAATAGTCATGGATAAGGGATGCTGTGCTGTAAAGAGCTTGATTTTATCTTTTATTTTCCCCATGCTTCCCGTGGGGAAGTAAAAATGCTGAAGGTTAACAGTGGCAAGGAAGTGAAACACTTTAAGGAAACTTAATTTTCAGCAGATGTAACAATCAGCCCTACTGGAGTGGCCCCTATGAAATATCTAAGGTCTGTCTGTCTCCATATAAAATTTGTTCACATTTAGCAGAACTCTTTTCTTTTTTTTTTTTTTTCTCACCCGAGGACATTTTTCCATTTTTTGTACAGATAGAGTGGGAGGGAGAGAGAGGAAGAGAGAGAGAGGGAAACATCGATGTGAAAGGGACACATTGAGTGGCTGCCACCCGCACGACCAACCAGGGCCGGGGACAAACTGCAACCGAGGTACATGCCCTTAGCGGGAACCGAACCCGGGTCTCTCTGGACCGCAGGCGGATGCTCCCACCGCTGAGCCAAACTGGCCAGGGCTAGCAGAACTCTTTTCAAGTGTATATTCAAGTGACAGGTAAGACTCTGTGAAACAAGTTTCTACACTCTCATGGGCCTAACTTCTTCACATCTGGGAAACAGAACAATTTAGTTAAGGTTTTGAATTTCATAATGTTTATTAATATACACTTTCCAAGATGTGTAAACCTTTCTGGGGTTGGGGCAGAGTGTGTTACTGGGGCTTTAGTAGGAAAAACTGTCCTGCTGGGGAGAGAGTTTGAATGTTGAGATGCATCTCAGAACCACAAGGAGCAACAAGGCAGGATAGCTTCTGAGTGACCTCATAAAGGTTTGCTGGTTGTATGCTGGTGAGCAAAGGGACGCTGGGCTTTGCACACAGAGATGAACAGATTAAGAGACAAGTACCAACAGCCATTGTAAGACCTTTTCTTTGGAAGAACTTGAAACTCGCCACTTACCGTTCCTAGCCTTGTGAGGTCTAGCTATGTCCCTCCAGAGCAGAACAAACTCAATCCAGAACACTTTCAGCATTATCATCATGGTACTAATTAGCATTAACAATATGACAAATCCTGCAACTACGTAGTAGGTGCTTTGATGATCAACTATTCAAAAGATAGGGGGAGGACAAAAATGATTATTATTATTATGTAAACAAAATAAAATGAACAAATGCATGGATGCTGGCCTCCATTAGGGGTACAGAGGTTCATACAACAGATGCCTACTTGGAACTGTCCCGGCTACTCTAAGAATCAGTCGGTGAAAGTGCATCGAGCCCCTACATGTGCACGGCACCAGGCCCGGCTCTCCAGGGAGTCTCTCAGAGGGTACGAGGAGAGACACTTGTGGACTTAACCAGGATAGGAAATAAAGGCATGGTTTTAACTGGCAGAGGTGTTTTAGAAAGAGTGCTCACTCCGCGCCGGACTGGGCAATGAGGACCTGCCAGAGGAGGTCCGAAGGCAGGAGTAGGAGGCAGATTGCTGCAAGAAAGGAAGCATACTGCTCCTGGCCAGAGGAAATGCGGTGAGCCCAGGCAAGCATAGAGTGTGCCTTCTGAGGAACTGCAATAACCCGATAACAGAAGATACGATAAGAACGGTGAGTCAGGTGGCGTTCTGGCCAGAACTGAGGCTCCAGCTAAGGCCTCAGCCTTTATTCTGAAGGTCCTAAAGCCAAGGAAGGTGGAGCGATGTGCAGACAGTGAACGTGATTTTCAAGCAGGATTAATTTGACGCAGCAGCAGGCTTGTTCCTGCGGGAAGAGCCTGGGACAGAACAGGCAGGAGCTCCGAGCGAGAGGTGAAGAAGGCCAGACCCGCGCAGTAATGCGGAAGGATGGACAAGCCCAGGCTGGGGCATTGAGGAGGAAGAAGCGACTGATCTCGGGGATCACGGAATCTGGAGTTAGTGGCCTGGGGAAGGAGGGAAGAAACTTGAGCCATTTAAGCCTGTAAAGCTATCTGAGGGACAACTCAAACTCCTGGTTCTGGGGCCCACGCATGCGCCTTACCTTTCTCATGGTGACACCATTTAGCCATCACTGAACTTGACCCTGCACTCGCTGATGGGCCCCATCCTCAAGGGCTTGTAACAGATATGTGCAAAGTGAACCTAAGATCTGGCTCATTAATAGTATTTTTGGCTGTTTTAGGTTTACTTACCTCTTTAGAATGGTTAACTATCATATTTTACAAATAGTCCCACTTAATGATGCTCATGAGAAGAATCTCAAATAAGAATTAGTCATACAGTTCTCTTTTGATTTTCATCTCAAATCTCAAAGCATGGGCTCCCAGGTTTGACAAGGAAAAGCACTGGCCTATATTCAAAATGCCCTCAACCCTTCACCAGATTCCTGAATCGCTAGCCCCGTGAGCTCAGCAACGGCCAAGGTGCAGGCGGAGGAAGGCGGGTGGACTGTAGCGAGCACAGTGACCTAACAGGCAGAATAGAGACAGACTCGTAGTCAGAGAGCAGGCTGCCAGCTGCTGTGTGGGGGTGGAGAATTGACAGAAAAAGAAAAAAGAAGAGCAAAAATGCTTGGACACGGACAACAGTGTGGTGATTGCCAGGCGGAGGGGTTTGGGGGGTGGAGGCAGGTCTGGGGTTATAAATGGTGATGGACAGACACTGGATTTGGGGTGGTAAACACACGATGCAGTGTACACATGTGTTGTAGAAGTATGCACCTAAAACCTGTATAATTTTGTTAACTAGTGTCACCCCAATAAAAAAACAGAAGAATATAATGATGCATCAGAGAGAGAAAGTCCTCCCTGCACCACCACACAGAAAGAGATAAAAACACATTGAAGCCCTGGCCGCTTTAGTTCAGCGGTTAGAGCATCGGCCTGTGGTCCAGAGAGACCCGGGTTCAGTTCCCGCTAAGGGCACGTACCTCAGTTGCAGTTTGTCCCTGGCCCTGGTTGGTCATGCAGGTGGCAGCCACTCGATGTGTCCCTTTCACGTCGATGTTTCTCTCTCTCTCTCTCTCTCTCTCTCTCTCTCTCTCTCACTCTCTCTCTCTCTCTCTCTCCTACTCTATCTGAATAAAAAATGGAAAAATGTCCTCAAGTGAGGATAAAAACAAAACAAAACACATTGAACTCCATTAGACATAACTAGGGCACCAATTCCTTACTCTACAAATCAGCGAACAAGTGGAAGGAATGGAGCATTTATCCCGCCTTCCCTGCACGAACTGTAGTCAGTTCAGGGAAACCAAGCAGCCTGAGTTAATCAGGGGAAAGTCCATCTTACAGAAGTCGAGCTAATGAATGTGCAAGGTTTAACAGAGTTAGAAAATGACAGTTTTATAGCTCCCACCGAAAGAAAGACTCATGAACACGCCTCAGTGGGTGCCCCCGTTAGCAGCCGGTGAAGCCGAGCCTCAAACGACCAGAGCCCCCTCTCAGTCTTAGCGTCACGATGAGGCCAGCGGGATGCGCCCGTTTTCTGATGGAATATGAAACACACAGCACCACGTACAAAGTGTCTTTGTTAGAACAATGAAATCGTACCTGACTTTAAAAGGAATGAAATTCTGACATGTGACAACATGGAAGACTCTTAAACAAATTATGCTAAATGAAATAAAGCAGATATAAAAGGACAAATATTGTGTGATTCCACCTATGTGAGGCACCTAGAACAGGCAAAAAAAACCCCAAAAACCTAAGAGAATGGCCAAGGTGAACAAGGTTTCAAGGCTGGAGGCAGGGGGCAGCAAGCTGTCTGAAGGCCTGCGGTCTGCCCTGCCGTCAGTTTGCTAAACACCCCGAGCACGTCTCCAAGGACCCTCCTCGGCTCCCTTTCCCTAAAACTGCTATCTGGACAGTGTCCTGTGGACATTGTTGTGAAGTGACCATGGGTGTGGCTGGCTACATTCAACCTAAGGAAAGAAGTTACTGAGACACTACAGGAAGTTGGAGTTCTGTCGTCCTAAGCATTAGTGGCTTTGTAAATGTACAAATATTTATTTTACGTGATTACTGAACACCGCATCGTTTCTGGAAGTGCTTGTAAGCAGGGAGCACTGCCTGCGTTTGCCTCTGGCTCTGTAACTCTAGCCCTCGGCAAGCTACTCCACCTCCCTGTGCCCCAGGCTCATCTTTAAAATCAGGTGACATAACGGTGTCTTTTTTCATTCCTTTAAATGAGAAATTCCATGAAAACTAATTAGGTCCTGGTACATAGGAAACAATAAAAAAATGTGTAATATTATTACTACGGGTATCAAATATTTATTGAAAATATTTAATAATACAGGGATATAGGCCTTGGAAGTTTTTGAAATTCAAGACAATGTTGTAGTTTCTTTTATTCTATGATTAGAAATAAAGGAATTCATTGTGGCAATATGACAGGAATAGCAACAATTGTTTGTTTAATGTACACAGTTGTTGAAACAGTGTAACCACGTTGACTTGAGAAAAGCAGGTGACAGCAAATACAGATGAGCTACAAGGGACAAAACCACCAAGGACACGTGACATGGAAGCACTTCCAACCCGCAGGAACAGAGAACATTCCTAAAAGGACGACAGAGGCAGCGTAGGGCAGGGTTTCTTCCTGGAGTGGGCGGGATTTGAACACAGCACCTTTGTTCACGGCGCAGCTTCACTAACAAAATGTGTGCTTCTCGTGACAAAAGTACATCATAAAAGGGCCCATGTTTCCCACGTTATAAAATGTAACAAAAGAGCATGCTCGCAGTGTGCTTCGGGCCTTCTCTGGCACAGTGACACAGGGAGGGTCTGGAGTAGGAGCAGAGCTCCAGAACCGAGAGAGAGGACAGGGAAGGGGACAGGCCGAAGGAAGCAGGCCAGTGGAGAGGCAACCGGACAAAGGAAGTCTGCGAGGCGTCACTGCAGATGCTCAGTGTTCTCCGCGGACCAGCTCATTTGGGGAGATGGCCGGCCTCTGGTCTTCAGGACCCCCTGGGACCACACCGCGACCACCTGTTCTCTAGAGAGTGGTCTCGGCTACGGCGGGCACTGGAGCGCGGTGGCCAGAGCCTCAGGGACACTCCTTACTTGGCTTTCTCCGCCTCAGTCTCAGGGTGTGCTTTCTCAGGCCGCGGAAGTTCAGGGCCAGGCATTCATACCGCAGCCGCAGGTCCTCGTCCCGCACGCGCGCGATTCTCAGGACGGCGCTCAGGCAGCTCAGCTGGTTGCTGGAACTGAGAGGCACCCGGTCAGGTCGTCGGCGCCCACGGGGACTGCGATCGCGTGCGAGGCGAAGGTGGCGTTTTAAGTTCAACATGAAAATACCTGAAATTTTGCTCTTGCTCCTCCCAAATTCTTGCTTCACTCCAGTTCCCAACTTTGCTCCCGTTAACCAGCCACAGGACAGCAGCCAAGAGCTGAGTGCCCTTCCCAAAGCAAGCCGAGCAAGTGATGTTTGCTGCTCTACCTGGGAGAGAAGTACAGAAATTCACCAATAAAATTAAACTCTGCACACAGTGTTTAATTTCATGTGAACAAGATCGTTAATCACTTGTGTGCCATAACTTGCTCACCATTTTCCATCCTGGCTCTTAGCACCTTGACCAGTCTATGCCCTCCTTTGCCTCCTCCTCCCCCATGACCTTCACTTCGCTCCCAGGAGGTTTGAAGCTCAGCTGCCCTGCCCACCCTCACCGGGAGAGGGAACCAGGGCAAAGGACTAGCGTCACCAGGCCGCGGTGCAGTGGACTATGTCCCTGGGCGATACATTGGAATTCCTTTGTAACTCCTCCCTGCATGCATTCCCCTCGTTCTGAATTCTCTTCCTCGCTCTTGGTAAGGAAGACTGTTTCACCTGACTGGCTGCCGCCCCAGTATTTAACCAGCCCACAAGAGCCCTCTCCATTCCAACTGCTTCAACTAGGATGTCCTCCTTCCACAGCTGCAGGCTGGGGACTGGGCCAGCCACCCCTTCCCGAGCCCGTGGTCCCTGCGTCTAGAATTAGAGGTCAGCAGAGGGATAACGAGCTCAGCATCTCTCCAAAGGGGACAGGGGTATAAACAAACAACTAGACCACAAGGTACCCTGTGTTCTGGTAGAAGCATTGATGCCATGACGTGGGAACATAGGGGACAAAATCATTGCAGGGAGCAGGGCTGCCACACTGCCTGGGCACATGGCGGCCCTGGACTCTCTCTGAAGGACCTTTGATCCTGTTCTGTGGCAGCAAAGGGGGCGGCATGGGGGGTTTCACAGAGGAGGTGCTGCTTGAGCCTCTTGCTGAGAGAGGGGAGGGAGGAATAACATGGGCAGAAGCAGGCAGGACTGCGGAGAATCTGCGCATCAGTGTAGCGCCGTGAGGTGGCCGTTGTGGTGGGGTCGCGGGACGTGGGCTCCTGGCTGCAGATGGGCCAGGAGGTGCGGGAGGACCGGGTCATGAGGGGAAGTTCTGCAGGCTCGTCTTTGAATGGTACCCCAGCTCCAGTGAGGAACCAGGAAGGGCAAGATGGAGAGAGTCAGAGAGTCTGGGTTCTCACCCTTCTGCCGCTGATTTTGCACAGCCTGAGGTGTGTCACCGACCCTGCCCGAGCCCAGGTATCCACAGGGCCTCCTGGGTGGAAGTGGCGTGAGTTTCACGGCGCAGCACGAGAGTCAGCGCTGCACTTGCTCTGACCACTTATTCCTGGTAGGGCGGGTGCCGGGCAGGTCCCACCCTCCGCGTCGCATGTGACCCTCACGGTCCACTGTGCTCAGTGCTTGGCCCCCATTTGGGGCTTTCGGACCAGGGCTCGGAGGGAAGGATTTTCCAAGCAACATTTTACAGCATTCTTAATGTTTTCTTACCGATTTCCACATCCTTTGTTTCATTTTGTGGAGGCGCTATAATTTCTGGACTGAAAGAAAAGCCTTTCTCATCTGAAATCAAAGACAAGAAGAGAATCTAAACTTAGAGCAGCATTTGGATGGTCATCAGTATGAAACCTATCGCATGCTTCCATCCGATTTCACAGCAATGCTTCTCCAGTCTTCTGGCAACGTGACCTGAATGGCAACCAACGCACACGCGCACACAGACACACACAAGTGAGACAAAAACGTCGAGGTAATACTTTCTCTTACTACCTATGATGCTCTTTACTGTTTTTAACCTCTTTAATCTCATTAAACAAATAGTAGTCCAACCCATTAAATTAAGTATACGACCTAACCATTGTAAGAAAAACTGCAACTCTGCAGAAAGCGTGGCACTATGGGAAGAGTTCAAGAGACCCATGAAGCCCTGGCCAGTTTGGCTCAGCGGTTAGAGCGTCGGCCTGCGGTCCGGAGAGACCCGGGTTCGGTTCCCGCTAAGGGCACGTACTTCGGTTGCAGTTTGTCCCCGGCCCTGGTTGGTCGTGCGGGTGGCAGCCACTCGATGTGTCCCTTCACATCGATGTTTCTCTCTCTCTCTCCCTCCCACTCTATCTGTACAAAAAATGGAAAAATATCCTTGGGTGAGGATAAAAAACAAAAAACAAAAAAAGAGGCCCATGAAAATGATACACATGTAAGTCTATACTTTGCTCATCAGTTCCTACTGCTGTGACCCATCCTCTTAGGAAACGCTATTTTCCTGTGGCCCTGATGCCTAGAGACCATGGAAAGGGGCTCTCTGGACCCCTGCTGCATTCCCACTGACTCTAGGCCACGGTGACTAGGAACCCCTGGGGATTTGGACGTGGCTCGGTGACAGGTACCGATGGAAATGTGGCTTCCAGGGCTCACTGTCCCACAGTGGAGCTTTGAAGACTCCAGACAAAACGTTCCTCCACGTGGCTTTGCCCTGAGAAACCTGCCACACCCTCAGCTGCGACTTCCTCTACATCCATCGATCGAGCCCGACGCTGTGGAGATGACACTCTTGATTGTGAAATCTCTTCCCTGAATGGGCTTTTATAGAATTTAAAGTAAATTTGAAAAAAAAAAAAAAAATGGAGAATTCAGTGACCTCCTTGAGGTCTTTGATGATGCTGAAACCAGGACTGAAAGTCATTCACCAATACCTATGTATCTTCATAAAGCTTCTCATCCAGTAAGGCATATTAGAGATTAAATAGACTTCTTTTAATTTATAGAATCTTTGACAACAAATTGGGGAAGAAAAGTTATTCAAATAGATTTATGCCAGTCAAAAAAGTTAAGTTAGCATTCAGATCACATTATCTTTGAAAAATTAAGTAAAAAAGGAAAGAACCCATGTGATTTTGGATGAGTAGCACAATGTCCCTCAGAAATGTCTTAAATCTTGACAGTGGTCATAGCAAAGAATGTGCAAAATAGCGTGAAGCAGGAGGAAGTGAGAGGGAGGAGGAGGTACAGGTACATCAACAAGAAGGACCACATTTCTCCCGCCTTACCTTCTGGCAAATACTCTGTTTGTCAAGCTCTGTGGTTTACCTTGGATCGTGAATGATCTGGTTGCTGTCACACTGTAACTGGTTCCGTTTTCATTGTGCATAAATTTGCATGTATAATCACCCACATCCTCAGTAGTTGCACTGTCAATCAGCAAATATGTCCCTTGCATGTAGTACCTTGGGCCTTGAAGAGGTTTACAATTCTGAAATACAAGTGCCATTCTATTTTCAGTAATTCTTTACTTCCATCTATTTGGGGTAATGTTCATTTATTTCCCCCAAATTTCCTTTACCTTAAACCACTCAACAGGTCCTATCCAATTGTAGAGGCTGATGGTAGGACAATCTATTCTGGAATTTGTTTCTGATCCAGTGATTGTTGAATACATCAGGTAGTCTGGGATATTGCAATCTGGTTGTTTTTTATATATGGTGACATTCACATATCCAGTCTTATTGAAGGTAGGACTATTAACATAAGTCAAATAATTTTTAAAAGTCACTTAGCATTATGAAATAACTTTATCCAAATCTAGCTTGTACTAACTATTATTTTATTCCTTAAAACAATTGATATATAGTGGGTTTTTTTGTTGTTGTTTAAAAATAATTATCGAAATCTAGGGTTTTAAATATTTATTTTATATTTGAGGTAAAACATAACTCCTATGGCAGCCCTAAAACTGACTCCCTCACCACCTCTTTGTATACTATTTATTGAGAATCCACTATGTACTATTCATGATATTAAGATTACCTCATTTTATTCCCACGATGCTTTTAACTGGGTTATATTAATATATGTAGTTTACAGATGAGGAAATTGAAAGACAGAGAAGCAATGTACAAACCTCCAGCTCACTAGTGATGGAACATGAATTTGAAAATAAACCTTGTCTGACTTCAGAACCTAAGTACCCTAACTATACACGTCTGCCTTTCCGTACAATTCATCTGACATTTGGTCTGTACCAAATGTGGGCACAAAATCAAAACATTTCACAGTCTGTATGTAGAGTAATTTTTAGGCAGCTAGACTCACATAACCGTCTTCAGCTGACCTGTGGGGGGAAGGGACTGGTGATCCCCTCTGCACTACCCGTGGCCTCCCGGGTGTCCGTCTCCTAGGTCACTGTGCTTTGTGCTGTCATTCTCATGTCCAGCCAACACTGAGCAACTGGTCTCAGCTCTCCTGGTCATTAGGAAAACCAGAGCTTTTCTAACTGGACTACAAATGAATCCCTGAAGTTATTTACCCAGTAGTTAGTTCATAGTCATCTATACCCCAACCCGACGGTGTTCCTGGAAGTACTCTGATTCAAATCACTCTGCAAGTTCAACAGTACCAGACAAGTCTAGAAAGGAAAGGGGGTGGGGCAGCTCGACTGTCACCACTTAAAGAAAAGAGAACAAGCCTAAACATTATGGTGGCTGATTCTACCTTCTGATAATGCAAGTATAAATTCCAGAATCTTCCACTTTGGCTGGGAGAAGCTTAAGACGTTCCCCTGAGGCAATTACACGATTTCCTTTCTGGGTGGTAATGGTTTTATTGGACTTTGAGTTATACCAATCCACAGGGTATCGAGATCTTGCTTGTCTAGGGCATCTCACCATTAAAGCCTCATTTTCCAGACCCCAGGATGACTTGCCTGCAAATAAAAAAAAAAAGAATATAATTTTGAAATGATCATATAAAGATTACAATTCTTATATTCTAGGATATTCCCCTTTAAAATTAAATTGAGAAATGAACCATACTTTGTGATACTTAACAAAGAAAGAATAGGTAAGTGATTAAGATATCGTATGAAATGTTCTCATGGGTACCAGAAATCAGTGAATCAGTTTGGAGTAAATCCCCCTGACGGCCCAGTGGGAAAGCAGCCATGTCCATGTACACAAAGTCCATTGTCAATGGAGAAATGCCTACAGTACCGCCCACGTGCAGGCACCCTGTGAAACGATGACGTCTTCGAATACGGAGAGCTAAAGTTATGGTGTATTCATGAGGAATTCATTCTCACAGACTTGTGAGAACGAAGGGCTGTAGGGCATAAGTGCATTTCCCAGGTTACAACTCAGGGGGCGACTGGAAGCAGGCAGTTTCAAACAAGGCAAGTACTCTTTAAACTACTTAATTTAAAAGGTTTTAAATTACAGTTGAGAAGAACACTTACTAGAGTTTGCTGCTGGGAAATGTATAAGAAGTGTTAGAGTTAGAGTTGCCAAGGCCCAGAGTCTCATTCTCAGTTCAGTCTAGAGGAAGTGCAGTCACCAGTTGTGATGACTCGGGTCGGATCTGAGGCGAAGGTCTCTCCGAGAAGGTTGATGGTGCTACCTAAGATTTATCATTGGAAAGAGTTTTCAGTGTCTCTGCTGAAAAAAATTCATATAGAGCCCTGGCCAGTTTGGCTCAGCGGTTGAGTGTTGGCCTGCAGACCAGAGAGTCCCAGGTTCGGTTCCTGCTAGGGGCATGTACCACAAAAACAACAACAACAACAAAAATCATACAGAATCACAAGCAAAATATTTACAACCATGAATTTTACTTGCTTAATAATACCCAGAAGAATGAATCCAGCAACAGGTATTTATTCTGAATAAACATTTAGAACAGCAGGATTTCAGACATTTATAACTGCGTGGGACCCTCCTGAACCTCGGGCCAAGGAGAGTGACCGCACAGTGGTCACTATTTCACAGTCTATGACAGTGGACTAAAGAAGCTAAATTAAAAGGAAAGAAAATTAATTTCTATTTTTGAAAAAAATTAAACCATAAAATTTGACAGACCCTAAAAAATACAATATTACAAATGCTAATATAAAATGACGAACACCCACCCGGCCTAGCGGCAGTGTGCACACGCATGACCCATACTCAGGTGCACATGCGTGACCGACCCATACTGGGGTTTACACACATGACCCATACTCAGGTGCACATGCGTGACTGACCCATACTGGGGTTTACACACATGACCCATGCTCAGGTGCACACACACAAATAATCATCGAGAAGCAACTAAGGAACACAGGAAAGTACCGAGTGCAGCAGTAATCAAAAACTGTCCTGGGCACGGCACCAAGTCCCCAAAAATGTGTCCCTGTCTTAGCCTGTCCCAGGATTCACCAGAGGCTTTCTAGAAGCACTTAAAGTCTGTGGAAAACAATTACATACCCCTCTTTCTTCTTTCAGCAAAAGAACCACCTAACTACATTGTTTTTCTTTAAAAGCCAGGGGAGGAATGGAACAAGCTAGAATTAGACGAATCTAAGGATAAATACAGCTAAGAAAGCTCGTTTCCTCTAGACATGGACGGCCGGTACTGTAGAATGAAAGGTGTGGGACAGTTTTCGGAGCACGCTCCAGACGGGTGACTGATGCTTACCCAAGCCGAGGGGCGGACACAGGACCCACAGACCCGGGCTGAGAGCAGGGCGGCTTCCGCTTCAAGCTCCTGTGAGGCTCCACACGCAGTGTCCAGTATTCTAAGAGGAGACGCTCAGAGATCCTCCAGCCACCACTCCACCCCCTGGACATTGATTTTTCGCCAAAATTCATGACTTGTTAAAAAATGCTGGTGCATCATGTACCAAGAATTCTTAGCCTGGGTACATAAATATTTAAACCTAAAGACCAACATTCCTTCAGGAGAAGTAATCCATTTCCTTCCCCCTGTTTCCGCATACTGCCCTGATAGGATCGCCCCTTCGGGTCTGGTCCGCGGGAACAGCAGGCCTTGAAACGGTGCTGCAGTAGATATGTCCTGATGTCCACCTGCAGACGAAGCCAGGCAGGCCCGCCAGCCTGGAGGTCTGGGGCAGAGGGTGTCGAAAGCAAGCTGCGGGGACAAGCCTGAGAAGCCAGGGGCCTTGAAGAGGGTCTGGCAGTGTGTGGTTTATGACTCAGAATGTGATGTCTCATCCAAAACCAGATTCCAGCTCAGCAGGTTTAAGTCTCTGTTGGGATCTCCATTTAGATGGGAAAGAAGTTTTCCTGAGGAGTTCTGGGAAATGAGGGAGGCAGAGAGCAGGACGGCCACCTCAGGGGCGGACAGGAAGACCGTAACTTTTGGGCTCCATGTAAAACAGATGCTAATTATAAATGTGGTTTTAGTTGTTCACAGCTGGTATGACTCTATTATGAATAAATTCAACTTAATTTTGAAACTCACTGCATTCCAGAAGGAGTCAGAGACATATTTTAGACCAGCACAATAGTGATAATAATAATAATGAAGAAGAAGAAGAATTGCTAAGTTCTTCTAGAACTCTATGCCAGGCCAGATACAGTTCTAGGTGTATTAACTCCCTTCTCGTGACCACCCAGTGAGGCAGATGCTATTATTATTATCCCCATTTTACAGATGAGGATGCTAAGGCACAGAGAGGCTAAGCAACTTGTCCAAGTACATACCTCTAAGAGGTAGAGCCAGAATTTGAACCCAAGCAGGCTGACTCCAAAGGCTAGGTGCCTAGTTACTGAGCCATAATGCCATCAGCTAAGGAAGGTTAAGGGAGGAGGTGCTACCAAAGAAGAGTTCTAAGTGGGTGTTTGGAACTTACGACAGCATCTCCCTGACCCTCAAGCACTCCCTTGACTGGGGCTGGCCTCCCCACCTGCAAGGGGTTCATCAGATCTGGGACATCAGTCAGGCTCCGACAGAGAAGATATAGTCTCGACCCTGCTGGAAGGGTGACTGTGAGGTCCCTCGTTGTTGATCTCAAGTTAGTTATCACGTTCTTATAATCAAGATCACATGGGTTTTGGCACTAAGGCCACAGAATCAGGAGCAGGAGAGCTCGGAACAGTGTCCAGGGCTCTCTGAGCTCCAGATGATGTTTTGTTAATAAAATAATACAATTCTGAACGTCCTCATACTTGAATATAAACTAATATTTTGTATCCTAAGACATCTTTTCAAAAATTTTATTTAGGCATTTATTCATTAAACTGGGCCACATGTACATTGTTTTCTTAATTTTAAATAAGGTTTCTTTGTTTAAAATAAAATTTCAGTTAGAATTTTACCCCAATAACCATGACATCTTAAAGAAGCATTTAATAAAGTCTAACTACTATTATAAAATACTTCAGTCATCTATTCAACAGTTAAGTTCTGTCATTCAAAGTACAATACTTGGTGGTACTTATCATCAACATCATTAAAACTTTACAGATGAAAATAAAAACCCAAGGATGCGACTGGGCAAATAGTTTATCCAGGCTCACCCAGTTGGGGCTGGGTTGAAACCAGGCTTGCTGAACCTCAAAGTTAAGTTTTTGTGTTGTTTTTCTAATATCAACTAAAGAGGAGAGAGCTCAGAGCAAGAGAGCTTTCCTTCTTGTATTAAACAAAATAAACCAGTCTAATTTCCTTAAGCCTCTTCTTTTTAAAGAACTAAACCATTCTGGCTTCTACCTACTATGACACTACCCAATACAAAAGGATAGCAGTTAATAGTAACTTCAGGTAAAATGTGAAAGGCAGGAACTTTTAATAAATAAATAAAACAGATTTTGAGAAGCCATGAATTTCTGCCAGCTTAATCAGAAATCTTCCAGCATCTACTCATTTCTGAGAGGTACCTTATTTTAAAGATTATTCAGAACTACTCTTCATGTTCAATATTAACCTAACCTAATTTGGCCATAATTTTTTTCTGATTTGGAGGTTACAGTTTTGAAATATTGCACGTCCCATTTATGACCTAATTGATATTTTCAGTAAAAAGCAAAAAGACAAAACAAACAAAAATTTTATTGCCAGAGTAAAAGCTGGCTGCTTACATTTGGAATGAGGCACCCAAATATTTCATAACCTCAAAAATATCATGGGAGGCATGTGTATTTGTCTTGGCTGGTTTCATAACTAAATAAAAATGCCCTCTACCCCTGAGCTAGCTGTCTGTGGCTTTGTCTTACTGTGAACCACGTCAAAAATCAGGAATTTTTTCTCATGTTAAATACATGAACTTGACTTCCAGTCAAGATGGCAGCAAAGGTAAATGTTATCTCGCCTCCTCCCACAACCACATCAAAATGACAACTAGGAGAAGGAAAATGGTGGCGGAGTGAATGGAAGCTACACAGATGATCTCCCAGGACCAAATGAGAATTACAACTAAAATAAAGACAAATCTTTGGGAAAAAGCAACAGAAAAGAAGCATGACAGCACCATATAACCAGGGACACTGGCAGGATCTGCAGAGGTACAAGAGGGTGGCGGGCTGAGAGCCCATGGACAGCAGCAGCCTTAGCTGTGAGCAGCGCCCTTGGGAAATAAAGACCAAGGCTGCTCTATAGCGCAGAGAGCCAGGACAGAGCACTAAAATGGTCACAGCTACTCACCTGGGGGCTCTGGCAGAGGGAGGGCGAACTGGACTGGAACTGTGTGGGGACTCAGGATTTGGAGGGTACTCAGAGTTTTTGCTGAGTCACAGACACAAAGGACGGTGGCCAGTGTGCTCCTTCCCAGACCTGTGGGGAAAGCAGTAGCCCCTCCCTCAGAGATTCAGCCTTTCCCAGGTGAGGCAAAGAAATGCAAACTGAAACTCATTAACAGCCAGCATCTATTCCACCCTCTGGAAATCCTCTCATGAAGAACACCTGGGCTACATTCCAAGGCCCTGAGTAACAGAGACTATTACCCTCCAGGCAAAAAGTTAGAGGATAACTGAACCTTTCCTGGGCTTGCAAATCTACCCAGGAAAGGAAGACTTGACAGTGGTGTTTAACATGGGCCCTCCCATGCTCATCCAAACCTAGTAGAGGGAGCCAAAAACAGCAGAGCACGAACACCCACAGGAAAAATTTGGCAGGCTCCAAAACCCACTGAGATAGCCAAAATGGTGAAACAAAGAAACAAATCCTAATTGAAAGAACAAGAGAACTCTATCAAAGATGAGATCAATGAAATCAGTTAAGTAAATTATCAGAGGGAGAGTTAAGAGACATGATCTTGAGGAAGCTCAGCAGCATGAGTAAGGACATCAGCACCATGAGTAAAGATATAGAAACATTGAAAACCACCAAGTGGAAATGAAGAATGACATAGCAGATATTAAGAACACATTGGAAGGAATAACCAGCAGAGTAGAGGAAGCTGAGGACCGGATCACTGAATTAAAAGACAGAGTAGAAAAAATCAACCAATCAGAAAATTAAAAGAAAAAACAATTGAAAAACAGGAATATAGTTTAAGAGAACTGTGGGACAACTGGAAATGTAATAACATTCTCATCGTAGGAGTCCCTGAAGAGGAAGACAATGCACAAGGGTTAGAGAATATATTTGAAAAAATAGTGACAGAAAACTTTCCTAACTTGGTGAAGGAAGAAGGCATTCAACTTCAAGAAGCACAGAGAGCCCCAAGTAAGAAGAACCCAAATAGGCCCACACCAAGACACATAGTAATTAAAATACCAACAATTAAAGACAAAGAGAGAATCCTAAAGGCAGCAAGAGATAAGCAACAGGTTACCTACAAAGGAAACCCCATAAGGCTCTCAGCTGACTTCTCAACAGAAACACTACAGACCAGAAGGGAATGGCATGAAGTAATCAAGGTCATGAAAAACAAGGATCTGAATCCAAGACTACTATATCCAGCAAGGCTATCATTCAAAATAGAAAGTCAAATAAAGAGCTTCCCAGACAAAAATAAAAGACTAAGGGAATATATTAGCACCAAACCAGCACTGCAAGATATGCTAAAAGAACTGCTGTAATTAGTAAAAGAAATAGGAAGAAAAATATAACCACGTTAAACAAAAATGGCAATAAATAAGTACATATCAATAATCACCTTAAATATAAATGGTTTGAATGCTCTGATCAAAAGACACAGAGTAGCTGACTGGATAAGAAAGCATGACTCACATATATGTTGTTTACAAAAGACCCACCTCACAACAAAAGACTCACATAGATTGAAAGTGAAGGGATTGAAAAAAAATCTTTCAAGCAAACAAAAAGAAAAGAAAAGAAAAAAAAAAAAAGATGGGTAGCAATACTCATATCTGATAAATTAGATTTCAAAATGAAGGCCATACCTAGAGACAAAGAAGGCCACCACATAATATTGAAAGGATCTATCCAACAGAAAGATATAACCTTGGTAAATATATATGCACCCAATATAGGATCACCAAAATATATTAAAAATCTTCCAGAGGACTTCAAAGGAGAAATCAACAACAATACAATTATAGCAGGGGACTTCAACAGCCTGATGACATCACTGAATAGATCATCTAGACAAAAAAATTTAACAAAGAAACACAGACTCTAAATGAAGCACTTGATCAAATGGATTTAATAGATATTTACAGAGAATTACACCCCAAAACTGAACAATTCACATTCTTCTCAAGTGCACATGGGACATTCCCAAAGACAGACCACATGTTAGGGCACAAACTAAGTCTCTACAAGTTCAAGAAGACTGAAATCATATCAAGCATCTTCTCAGATCACAATGGCATGCAACTAGAAGTCCATGGCAACAAGAACATGCAAAGACATTTGCATGTAACAGGTTAAATAGCATGTGATTGAACAATGAATAGCTTACCATGGAGATCAAAATAGAAATTAAAAACTTCCTGGAAACCAATGAAAATGAACATAAAACAACACAAAATCTATGACATGCAGCGAAAGCAGTTCTGAGAGGCAAGTTTATAGCACTACAGGCCTACCTCAAAAAACAAGAAACATTTCTAATAGACTATCTAACCTCACAACTTAAAGAACAAGAGAGCAAACAAAAAGAAAACCTCACAGCAAGTAGAAGGAAGGAAATAGTAAACATCAGAGCAGAAATAAATGACACAGAGACCAAAAAAACAATTCAAAAGATCAATGAAACAAAGAGCTTTTTCTTTGAAAAGATAAACAAGATTGTTGAACCCTTAGTTAGACTCACCAAGAAACAAAGAGAGAGAACCCAAATACAAAAAAATCAGAAATGAAAGAGAAGTAACAACTGACACCACAGGAATACAAAAATTGTTAACAAATATTATGAACAATTATACGGCAACAAATTCGACAATATAAGCAAAATGGACAAATTCCTAGAAACACATACTCTCCCAAAACTGAACCAGGAAGAGAGAGAAAACTTGAACAGACCAATAACAACTGAGGAAATTGAAGATGTAATCAAGACTCTCCCAGCAAACAAAAGCCCAGGCCCGGACAGCTTCGTGGGGGAATTTTATCAAACATTCAAAGAAGAACTAATACCCATTCTCCTCAAACTATTTTTAAAAAATTCAAGAAGATGGAAAACTTCCAAACACATTTTATGAGTCCAGCATAGTCTCAATTACAAAACCAGAAAAAGACACTACAAAGAAAGAAAACTACAGGCCAATATCTCTGGTGAACACAGATGCCAAAATCCTGAACAAAATACTACTAAATCGAATCCAGCAATACATCAAAAAAATTATTTACCATGACCTTCACAGGCATGCAAGTCTGGTACAATATTTGCAACTCAATAAATGTGATACACCACATAAACAAAATGAAAGATAAAAATCATATGAGCATATCCTTAGATGCTGAAAAAGCATTCGACAAAATCCAGCACCTATTTCTGATAAAAACCCTCAGCAATTTGGGAATAGAGGAATCATATCTTGACATAATAAAGGTCATATATGAAAGACTTATCACCAATATCATATTCAATGGCAAAAAACTAGAAGCATTTTCTTTAAGAACAGGAACAAAACAAGGATGCCCACTTTCGCCACTCTTATTTAACATAGTACTGGAAGTCCTAGCCACAGCAATCAGACATAAAGAAAAAATAAAAGGGATCCAAATGGGAAAGGAGATAGGGAGACTGTCATTATTTGCAGATGACATGATATTGTACATAGAAAACCCTAAAGACTCCATCAAAAATCTATTAGA